AGATGATGCAATACCCGAAGCAGGGCAGACACTGTCCATAACCTTACTAACACAACACAAAGCGCAGAGCGAAAAAGCAGCGTTGCCGCATCGCACGGAGTGACGCAGTAGGATCATTTTTACACTTCTGCGCACACGGTGATACTCAACTAGTATTTTCTGTGTGTAGGGGCGATTGCGTGGACGCGAGTAAACTGTAGGTTGAGCATAACTGCAGTCGGAGAACGTCCTTAATTACAATTCGAAGGTTAGATATTTATACGAGTATTTATACATATTCATGCATGAAAAATTTCCGGTGTAGCTGCTAATTACAATCTAACCTTCGAATTGTAATTAAGAAAAGAAATTATAAACTTATATAAACACACGTATATATAAACTTACATAAACAAGCATAAATATTCATAAACATGTATAATTATATATAAAATATGTCTCCATACATGTTTATACATCCTTTTTTCTTTTGTAAAATTACTTTTTAGTGTAATAGAAATAACAATATAGTAATGTGAAAACATTAAAAATTATTAAAAAGATAATTTTCGCACTATTTGTTTTAGAAAAAATCAAATTTGAAGAAATGTAAAAAAATTACTTACGTATAATTATACATATTTATGAATATTTATGCGTGTTTTTGTAAGTTTATAGTTTACATTTACATTTTCTATTTATACATACTCATGCATGAACAATTTTTTACCGGGATGATATTGTCTTTACCATGTTAATAAATACTATATATATATATATATATATATATATATATATACTTATATATATATATATATATACTGTGTTCGTTGTTTAGTATTGGATAGTGAATGTGACAGTAACTTTTGAAACACTGAAGAGAGTCAGTGGATCGCATGAGATTGTACATTTTCGTACACCCGAACGTAAAATTTAAAATATGATGTGGCTAAAGGAACGCATTTTGAAGTGGTTTCAGTTCTTGGTTTTAAGGTTCATTAAGAATGGCGAACTGCCAAAACACGTGGCACTTATCATGGATGGTAATAGACGTTATGCGAATAGACATAACTTGACGAAAGCAGAGGGATACTCAAAAGCGTATGTATTTTTTAAAAGAATTTGCAGATATACTGGTCCGTTGTTTATTTGTCTCATATCTTATATTTTATTTACGATAGGTTCGACAAAATGATTGAGATGATATACTTGTGCAGGGATCTCGGTATTGCAGAAGTCACAGCTTATGCATTTAGTATAAATAACTTTAAACGTAGCAAAGAAGAAGTTGATGGTCTCATGGATCTTGCGAGGCAGAAGTTCAAGCGTCTCTTAGAAGAGAAGTATGTGTAACATTTAAAATTTTTTAAATCAGGTATCACATTGCAGCACAATATAGATTTTGTTATTACAATTTATATAAACAATTTCCAGGGAAAAATTGAAGGACGGTGGAATATGCATTCGTGTGATTGGCAATTGGTCCCTAATACCAGAAGATTTATGCAAATTATTTGCTGAAATTATGACTGTTACTAGAGAAAATAATAGAATAATTCTAAATTTTGCTGCTTCTTATGCATGTAAGTATAATTACAATGAATTATATTTATGTTTACACTTGATTTTATATATCACTAAACCTGCGTTTAGGGAGTGTGCTATCAGTGCTATTGCATCATTCTGTTTTATTATATGTCATCCTCTTGTTTTATGTCTTATAAATAATTAAGATGGAATGATGCAATAGAGTGCTAATAGTATGCTCTCAGAACACAGCCTAAACCGATTTAAAAAAACTCATTGATATATCGGTGTACTCTCTGGACAATTAGTTTCGTGACGTATATATAAATAAATGTTTAATATTTTATATAATTTAAAAATACATACACACAAACACATATGCATATATAATTTTTATATTTTTTAATGTCGCTATAGCAAAGAATGAAATTACTCATGTAATTAAGGATATAACACAAGGTGTACAGGATGCTGATATTTTACCTGAAGATATTAACGAAGGTCTGATTACTGATTGTTTGTACACTTACAAGTCTTCAAACCCAGATTTATTAATTCGTACTTCCGGAATAACTCGACTTAGCGATTTCCTCCTGTGGCAAGTAAGAAAACGTATTTAATTTTTGTGATTTTAATCTATCTCCTTGTAATCAAAGCAGAACTATGCATTTCAAAATTTTATCTAAATTTCTTGTAGATTTCCGATACTTGTATCTACTTTAGTGAAGTATTGTGGCCTGAATTCAATCTATGGAATTTTCTTAGTGCAATTTTTTCTTATCAGAAATGTCATTCCAGCTTGCAGAAAAATAGAAAAAAATCGAAACCAATTGTGCATAATAATAGAGTATCCAAGTTTATTAATAAGTTGCATAACAAACGCGAGATAACAATCGAAAATTATGTTAATAAGACCTACTAGAATAGATTGATATATAAAAATATATCTATATATAGTAAATTCTAGTACATAAGTTATAAGTTGTAGCTATTCTAGTAGATAAAGTGTAATTGCACTGAGAGAAAAGATTTTGTTATAGGAACAAATCAAGGGAAAGCAAATGTGATATTTGTTAAAAAAACAATCGATTTGTGACGATTGCAAATTAATTCGTTAATGTAACAAATAATCAATAGTATCGCTAGCAAGTAAGAGGCTCATATATGTATATATAAAAGTCGTAGACGGTTGCAGGGTTTCAAATCGTAAGAAATTGACTAATTCTAGTCAAGTGTTCTCCCTATATTTGACTGTGCTTGGTCGGTTTCCTGCAACTTAGGACTCCACGATCATCTACGAATTCTATGTAAACGAGCTAAAGTCTATCCAAAAGATAGGTTAAATTCTATATAGTTTGTTTCTGTTATTAATAATTGGTTGGTATAGCAGACTAGCAGCAATCACAACAACATAATTTGTTGTTACATATTTACCTATCACCGGTTAAAGGTACTGGTGGCTTGCTAAATTAACAAAATCCTTTCTCTCAGTGTGCGTTCTCACAGGTACGGTTCCATAAGATTTAATATTTAATATTGTCAAATTGATAAGTTGTACTATCTGGATAAGTTAAAAGGGATTTAAATTGGTTAAAGCCGGGATTCATTATTAGCTATTAGCGATATTGTTTAATCATAATGCTAGTACATTATCAAATTTTATTTTCTAATAAAAAGTGAGATTACAGGTAACATTTATACTAATATCTAACAACAGATATGTATTAAAGAAGAAGTACATTGCAAAGTAAAGTTTTAAATAGTTTTAGTTTACGAAAAATTGGAAAATAAAATTTGGGCTAAAGTAATTCCAAAGGGCTAAAGTATAACCTAAAGTTATACGGTATAACAAAAAATTTATATGTATATTAATTAGCTACCGGGCAATTTTTTTGTAAAATTTCATTTAATAACCATTCAAATCTTCGTCTTACGAAATTTATAAAGATGGAATCACACGATGCTCGATCCCTTGAATGATAAACATGGCGTGCACGCATACATGCATGCATACATGCATGTTGCTGTGCTTTCTTTGATGCATACAGTCTGACATTGACACATAATTTTGAAATTAGCAATTGTTTCTTTTGATTGATGCATGCAAGGAAATAAGCTATGAAATAATCCATAATAAATATAAAAATCATGTATATGCATCATGCAATACTCAATGCATGATTGTATGCATGTTATCATTCAAGAAATCGAGTATCGTGATTCCATCTTAATAAGGCAAATAAACGTAACTGTTTTTTGTTACAATTTTCTATCTTTATGTCTCAAAATTTATTTATAGGTATATTTCTGTCTCTAATATTAATAGTAGTTTAAGAAATAATTATTAAATAAGAATACAAGAATAAGTTATAAAAGAAATCATTTAAATTGCTTTTTATTTGTTGTTAGAATGGAGGATAATGTTTTTAATTTTTCTGAATCTATACTTATCTGACACAAGGAGTTTATTATAATCTACCAACACAAAATGGAATAAGTTTGATTTTCGAATTTAATAATCAAAGGCATTGGGCAAAGATTCTTCACCCATATAATTATGAAATATTTGAGGCAAAAGATATACAAACACACACACGCATACACACACATATATTACACAATTTAATTAATACTTTACATATAATTTTTTACTTTATTTGAATTACCAACATTTTTCCTATATATGCGTACAATTTGTTTTTTACATTTTTTTTAGAAAAAAAATATTTTCCGAATTAAATAATGAACAAATTAAATTTTACGACAAAAAAAAGCTATATTGACAGAAGAATTTTTAATTGAACACGTTTAATTTATTGAAAGAGGTGCTATTATCATAACTGAGTTAGACCAACAATACAAGGTAAGTTCTTAAAAAAATATTTCAATATATATATACATATATACATGTATACACTAGCTGCCAAGAAAAAAAAATTTTTTTTTAATTGGCCACTTGGCTCAAAAGCTTCCATTTCATTCCAAAAAACACCCCTAAATTTTTATCAAAAAATATTAAGATTTAAAGGTCGCTAGTGAACGATTTTTAAATCAAAGTTTCGATTTTCCTTAATATATGTTTGATTTGATGCAAAAATGGTTTAATCCGGATTTCAAATGTGGTACTGTATGTTCTTTTTTATTGCTGAACACGATGCAACAGTTTATTTAACCCTACGATATACATCTTAAGAAATATAGCCCGATTAATGTAAAAAAATGACGAGTTGAAAAACTGACAAATTTCGACTTTAAAGTCAATTTTAGCTTCTATTTTTTTAATTTTTCGTCTAATAAAAACTAAGATGGTAATTTCTATTTTTTTTTTATTCGTCACAAGTGACGTATTTATTTGCATACGTTGTCACGCTGTAGATTCAAATACGTTTTCTCGCTGGAAAAAATAAAAACTGCTACTAGAACTTGTTATAATCGAATAAACGCGACGGCTGGTGGTTGCTCGATAAACAGAACAAACCTTTCGCGAGAACAGTCAGCGTCGCAAGTTGGACGCTGTTACCACTTTTACTGAACATAGAAAAAAAATCGACAGTGCATACGAGAGATAGGAAAAAGTCCCCATGGAAACTCATGTCAGACTTGTATCTTCTTTTCCTATCGATCGATTAAAATATTGTTCATTTGCTCCCTTTGCCTTCGTGCGACACTCCTTTCTTGAATATATATAGAACGAGCTTTCCTACCTGTCTGAGTTTGCACGCGCATAATAAAAGAGCAAAAAAGTGAATGCGGAAATGATACTTCTCGTAGATAGACTTGACAGTCTGGCATCGATTATCTACGAAACGGAAGAAAAAACTTCGAATCTAATTTTACACTTATGATTTTTAAAACATATTAATCTTACAAATTCATCAAATTATCGATTTTCTTGAATAATTCTCATATTAAAAATATTTTCTTCTACACGTATATATATATTTTTTCAATTTAATATTTCATGTAGAAAAACTGCTTTCAGTTGTACCACTAATGTCTATGTATGTATCGATTTACATATCGTTGAAGAAAATATTAATAAATACCATTACATGAAATAAAATTGATTGATTTTTCTGAGAGAAAAACTTCGATATAGAATTTCATTAACAATTCGTTCCATATATTTGTGCAGTTATAACCGAGAGTAATTTAATGCTTGAAAAGTCTAAAGCAACACATTTTATAATACATTATACGTATATATTTCACCTCTTCAATACAAATATTATTGTTACTACATGTTTTTGTTATATTTACGTTATAATGTATTATCATTATATGTTACAATTGTTAATTGCCATAAGATATTTTATTGATTTCCTCATATCCACGCATAAAATGATATATTTCTTAAACCTCAGATTATCGTAAAAAACTTCGAAAAGCAATATGCATAGAGAGAGGAAAACTTTTTTATAGCTTATTCGAGAACTGTGGTGTAAAATTGCTATCGAGACTGCAGTAAAGCATCATGGCTTGCGCCACTTTAAGATGGCGTATTCTGTACACGTGAGCTTTTTTTTATCGCAGATTACATAAAACTTCAAAGAGTATACAAAAATGCATTGGAAACGGAATAACATTTCCATCGATTGACTATGTAAAAGGTTTCTCCTCTACGTCAACGAATTCATTTACTGACCGACTTTTCTTCTCACAAGAAGCGAGTTAAATCTGGAGAAAGTATTTTTATAACCAAGACGTAAAACGTTGCGATGGAATAATGTCCATTTTAAAGCACACTTATTTTTAGAAGAAAAAAATCAATTTTTAATATAATACTTAATACATATAGGTACATTATATGGTTTTAATATGTATTAGTTTAATTAACCGTATTAACTCGGAAATGGTAACTTAATTTTTTGTTGCATAAGTAATCACTTGAAGTAATTTTATATTCCGATTAAAAGCGATTGTTCTTTCAAATCTGTTTGCGTTGCTTGCTTTGTACTCATAATCAATATCTTCATTTTCTTTCCTTTAACATCCAAATATAGGATGTATCTCATTTTAAGTGACAAATTTTGAAGGGATTTCAAGCAATGCGACAGATCTATTATCAGTAATGTAGATACATACTATTAATTATTCTACATTTTATTAGAATATCCGTGTATAATATTAAAAATTATTCTATCAAAACATATAGATCTTTATCAATCCGTTACCTTTTATCGAATTATTGCGGATTTTTTTGCGGTACCAATTTTTTGTCGCAAACTTTCTTCACCCTTGCATCAAGACGTACGCACACATATTACGGATCGAACGATGGCCGTGTTGTTTTGTTTTTGCTCCCCTTCTCCAACTGTCCGACCTTTTTCCTCGAGATAGAAAAATCGAGATCGTTACCATGGCGTATCGAGAACGAATCGATCTCGCGATTCCTTTTTTTGCGTTTTAGGTTGGCCACTTAACCCTTTTCTCTCCAAGAAGAATTGACGTATTTGAGACTTTCAGAATAGAGGAGTTACTATACATGCGGAATCTAAAGCAGTGAAGACTCGCTCTGATATTTTCTAAAGTCTCCAACCGATTGAAACGGTGCAAACAAAATGCAAAGAAGTTTCGAATAATTCACACAAGATAAATCGTTGTTAAAACTGAAAATATCGCAATCAAAGGTTTGAAATCTGTGCCAAGAAAAGAACTCGTTTCACGCGTCAATCCTGAACTGACTTTTATTGATTTGAATCCGATAAAAAAATTTCTATAGCCTTCATCAAGGATTTGTTTGATGCTTTAATCAAACTGCGAATGAAGGATTGATGATGTCTATTTGTGTATCCAATTACAAATATTTTCTCTCCCTTATTCATATATTCTTCTAAAAGTTGCAATAATTACTTATGCTTATTAAACTAAAATATTACCCATATAGAGTAAACATAATTATTAATTACAAGATATACAATTGTAATTCATCTTGTTGGAATAATTCAATATTCATTGCTCTAATTTTACTTGCTGTTAAAAATTATCTTCTGCTGCAATTGATGACATCGCAGTTTTTCTGTTAAAAATTCTTAATTGCATTAATAACGGAACACCGAAGGAACACAGAAACAAGAACACGTTAGTTAACCAGATTAGACGTTTAATACATAATTAATTAACGGCAATGTTTGCACTGACGTCGCGCGGTGAGTCGTCGATTTCGCGGCGGCCATCGTGAGCGTGATTTTTCTCTTGGCATGAGAAAGCAAACACGTAAACGCGCGGTATCATAACACCTGCACGGCGTCCAAGCACAGAATAGTGCTTTCCTCCCGGTATGTCTCCCTTTCATATTCGAGTGGCTGACGCGCCGACGTGTCTGTCGTGCTTTTAGAAAAGTCTGTTATTTTTAAGGCCGAGATGCACGACTCGATATTTGCCGAGCGTGTTTACCGGCCGCCCTTAATCTGTCGCGTTGCTTTCAAGCATCAAGAAAAGTTTACCAATGTGAGATACCACTATACGATCGACCAATCGGGGACTGTCGTGCATGATGATCTTTCGAGAAAATTCTCTCTTCTAAGAAATGGAAAACCGGTCGCGATTGTCGAGGAATTTAAAGCAATAATATTTTAACTCAATGATATTGTGACGATAGAAAATAAAATATTTAAAGAAGTGCCATAAATTTTAATGTATTTAACAAAATTTTAAATGTATTTCAATATTTTCGAATTTATAATATTTTAAACAAAATTTTCTTCTATTTCAATTTATATCTTTCGTTGTATAATGAAATATCGCACAATGTTGTTTTTTGTCTAATTGCGAGTTTTAAATCAAAACCATTGAGTTAATTTTCCATTAAGATAATAAAGAAATATTTTATAAACTATATATATATATATATATACACAAGATATTTTATTGTTTTTGTTACACATATAAAGAAATATTTTATAAACTATATATATATATATATATACACAAGATATTTTATTGTTTTTTTTACACATATATTATTTTATTTAATATATTAGAAATAAAATTTAACGTATTAAACATTTTATTTTAATTTCATTTAAGTTCATTCCTCAGAAAAATTACGTGATAAAATGTTTAAAATTTGAGAAAAATTTCAGAGAGTGTGTGTGTGTTCCTTTCATTGCAGGTTTTAATTTCTCAAATTTTACTCGTTTATCGTCGATTAAAACTTTCAGACTCGACTATGTGTCATGTGCCATTTGAACAGAGATAATCTTTTGAAATTCTTTTTCCCGAACGTGCTAGCAATCAGAAATGACGCGGAGCCAATAAATCCGAAAGATTATGTTCGCGCTTCGCGAGGAAGTTGTAACAAAGTTGTAAGTGGCCGTCGTGGAAAACTTTGAAGGGACTCACGTCTACAACATTGTAACAAATGCAATTTCGCTTCAGTCGGTCGGAGTATATTGTAAATCGCAAAATTGCTTAACACA